CAGCCGCGAAGAGGAGCCACAGGAGGAAGAGCTCGACTTCGAGGAGGAGAAGGAGGAGGAGAAGCGCGCGGAGGCCGTCGACTCCGACAAAGACGAGGGTTGGCGTTGTTGTCGCGCTCTTTGTCTCGCTTTAACTCTGTTTGTGTTCTTCAGGCGAACTCGAGGACGACGACGACTTGGAAGAGGGAGAAGTGAAGGAGGAGGAGGAGGAGGGCGAGGCGGAGGGGCGCGCCCACCAGCGCGTGGTGGCGCCCGAGGAGGCGCGCTCCACGACCAGCATCTGTCGCTTCTACGGCAGAGGACAATGTGAGGATTGTAAGCGCTGTGATTGGCTGTAATAATATTGTGTATCTTTAGGCACGTGGGGCAACAACTGTCGCTTCGTCCATCCGACGGGCGCGCAGCACAAGAGGGCGCCGCCGCCGTTGCCATCGCAACCGCCGCCGCCCGCTGTGGTGGTGCAGAGGCGGCCGCGCGAGCAGTTCTTTCCGGAGGGCGAGAGCGCGTGGGAGCGCGGGTTGAAACAGGCGAAGGAAATGATCGTGAGGGCGACGAAGCGGAAGGAGGAAGAGCTCGACTTCGAGGACAAGCGCTTCCACTTGGGAGTCGACGAGCAGCCGTCACGTGACTCTCTGTCGCCGCGAGACCAACAATACGAGCGCAAAGACGACGAGTACGAGCGCAGGCGGCGTCTGGCGTTCGAGTCTGCGCCCTGGAACAACGACCCCGAACCGCCGCCGCCCGCGCAGACCAAAGCGCGCGCCAACGCCGAGACGTTTCGCGACCCCTGGCGGCGCTCCAAATCGCCGCAGAACGTGACTGTGGCGCCGAAGAGGCAGAGGAGCGAAACGCGCGCAAAGAGGTCGCACTCCATGTCCTCGATCTCCGCCTCGGGCTCTGAGTCCAGTTTCTCGGGCTCCGCCTCCGAGTCGGTGTCCGAGAGTTCGGGAGACGAGAAGAGGAGAAGATATCGAAAAACGGTTTCCGAAAAAACCCGAACTTTCAAAAGTAAGAGATCTCGAGATTTGAATGCATTTTGAATTTGAATTTTGCAGAAGAAAAGGACAACAATAATGAGTACGACTCGTGGAGCGAGAGTTTGAGCGAAAGCGAGGATTCGATGAGCAGTTATTATTCCGAATCCGACAACCAATCAGAGGAGCGGAAGGCTGGCGGCGCCCCGCCCCCTCCCAAACGCGCGAAAGTGGCGCCACAGACGGCCGAAAGCGCGAAGAAATCTCCGATAAAAATGACTTTTCTGAAGAAGGTTTGTGTTATTGAATCACGTGATCGTTGTTTT